CTGCTGCTCGCCTATATTACTTGTCGCTGCGTATATTTCTTCTTGGTTTAGGTTATAAGCCACTACGCCTACTCCTATCCCATCTCCGTCTTTAGTTTTAGATGCGTCTGAGTAGATTACTATAGAGTTATCCTCTATTGTTTGGATATAATCTTTGTGCGCGATTGCCTCTTCTTCTTTAGATTTCTTTGATATAGAGATAGTGTAGTTGAGAGAATCCCATGGTCTGAACCGATATGGGATGATCTCTTCTGTCTCTTGGGTAGATGGGATGGAGCTCGTGATGGCGCGTAGTTGTCTTGTCTTATTTGGCTGTTTTGATTGTTGAAGGGTTGTTTTTTGTAGTCTTTTAATAGCTTTTGTAATTGGGTGGGTGTGAGCTAGTTGTATAGCTCGCAGTGCAGCAACGAAGCGTAGGCAGCGTAAAAAAAAGCGAATACAGAAGCAAGGAGTGCTAACAAAGGGAGCTGGAGAGGATCTACTTGCTCAGCGTGAGGCTGATCAGCAGATTGCTCATGAAGAGCGTCAAGGAGGAGAGCGATCAGGTGCTAGTCGCCAGGCTCTTGCGCGCTGTAGTAGGTGTAGAGAGACTGGCCATAATGCGCGTACATGCAAGAAAGATACTATAGGTACTACTTAATCTACTATCTTAATACATATCAAGATAGTTACATTGTGGTGGCACTATACGCTTATAGAGGTGCGTAGGTTTGGTGGGTGCGCGACTCGCTTGCCTGCGCGACTCGCTTATCCATCACGTTATACATATATAGCTAAAATGTTCAGTGGCTGGGCCCAGCCACCTTACGAAGTTCAATGCACGACCTTCTTATTCAACATTTAACAGTAGGAAGGAGATATCTAAAACGATCATTGGGAGATGATTTTTCGTTAGTCATGTGCGTGGCCACACGAGATCATCATGCCTTACAATGAACAGAACCTACCAAGCAATCAGATACACCAGCAGTTAGACCTTGTAAACATCTGGCCCTAAGGTGCGACTCAAAGGAGGTAGAAGTTGCAGCCCCGACTACAGCTGCAAGCAACAGGGTATTATTAAGTAGGAAGGCGCAACGTCTGCCTAGGGCTATAGACAGCGGAACGAACAAGAGGTTACCGATACCCATACATAAAGAAGGGTAGCTCGTAAGCTCAATAATTCCTGAAGCATTAAATGACTACATGCATCTTAGTAATTTCAGTTTTAATGTTTTTGCCAAATATGAGATAGTTGGATGGTCAACTTACCCTTTGAGTTTTTTGTTTATATTCTGAGATCAACTTCCTAAAGAATAATGGCGCGGTTTGAATTACACTAAAGCCGCTAATGGTGTACAGGCAAACAGTAAGAAACACAGGACGCTGCTTCCATAAGCTGAAGTTCAATGGATCATCTGGATGTGCTGATGGGATGGGCAGCTGGCGAGTTCTGCCATCTTCGCCATGGACTAATACCCCGTATGGAGAGCCTTCCGAGATCATCTCATGCCTTTTAATATCCATCTTTTCCATCGTCAAACGGGATTATGGTATGCTTTAGCTGTCTTTGGAGTCTGGCTTGTTGTGTGTTGCGTCTGTTAGGAGAGTTTGGAGGACGGTTCTAGCAATAAGAATGTTGCAAGTACGATCGGGAAAGGGCTTTCTAGGCCTAATAAAGCATCACTACAGCCCCGGATGTAAATTAAAATGCGGAGAGATAAGTCCCCAGAAAGCTTGGTATCATGCGTGGATACGGTAGTCGGGCCGAACAGGATTATAAAAGGATATAGGCCGGGCCGATGGAGCGGACCGGCAAGTCGCGACCGTATATGCTTCAGCTCACTCTGCTCCTCCGACACCGAACCCACCAACCCAACGCTCTATGAGCACGATGAATCCACTCTCGGTCTCCGTCGCATGCTTACGGTGTCGAAAGCAGAAGGTTGATACCCGAAATCTTGATCTCGCACCAATGAGCAAAAGCTAACAGAAAGTCAGCTGAGGTGCACTCGCGAGCGGCCTGAATGCCGTCGCTGCGCGCGCATCAATCATGCATGCTCATATCCGCCACCTCCAAATCGAAAGGGACTTGCTGCCTGTCGCAGTCAAGGGCGCTTTGACTCTGCGGAGCAACACAGAGCGTTTTCGTGGGATAGTCGCTTGAACAACAACCAACCTTCGCTAGCTGATGCTTGTACTAACACAAATGACAATGATCGTATTAGTCGACATCTACATGACTTTTCCGCTAATACACTACAGAAGACGACACCCTCGTCGCTCTACACGATTCGTGGCAATAACACAAGGCCATCTATGCCAGATGGCGACGAAGATACGCATGTTGCTGACGAGGTGGCTTTGTTTCTGATCGAGATCTACTTTGAAAGACACTACCAGGCCAACCTTTTATTCTATAAACAGAGTTTTATCGATGACTACCTATCTCAGCGGCTCCCAGGCTATATTTCGAAGGCTGTATTCGCATTCGCATCAATGTAAGTGCACTTGGGTCGATCGAAGTCGCGTGATACAAGCCATACTAATAGACTCTGAGCTTTTTAAATCATGTACCCGGAGGTAATACATCAGGCAATCTCGAAATCTCGGATATATCCAGTGTAGACTGGCATGAGATTGGAGAGAGATGGGCAGAACGAGCTGGTCAATCTGTCTTAATGCAAGCAGATAAGCCATGTTTGGAGGTTGTTCAGACATGTCAGATACTCGCAATGTTCTGGTTGGCAAGATCGAAAACCGAACGAACGAACATGCATGCAAGTACGTTTCACAACCCAGGGCTTACATCGGTATGAAAGGTTATGGAGCGCTGACATCTGATGGTAGTGATTGCTTACCGGTCTTGTCGCATTTTGGGATTTCACCAGCAAAACCCTGAATGGGCCAAGCAACACCCTATTGAAGCTATCATCCAAAGAAGATGCCTCTGGGCTTGTTGGCTCACGCAGTGCGCAAGTCATGCCAATGCCAGATTTCTTACAGATTGTTGGGCTGAAGTTGTTGACTGTCCGTTGCCAGAGAGCAACCAGTCAGATCCTCGAATAATCGGAGAGCGTTATGTTGACAATGTTGGCTCAATCCATCAGCGAGGCATTATTGACAAGACTTCAAGACTAGATTTCCACACATGCTTAGTTATCATACATGGCCTATGGTAAAGTCGACTCTGCGCTATTCAGGTAATACAAGTTGACAATATTTAGGTGGGAGATTCAGCATTTCGTATTCTCTATGCAGAAGAATCCACACCCACCCTATGATCCGACCCCAATGCTCTATAATCTAGAGGAGAGGCTTCACGACCTTCATGCTTCAATGGATGAACGCGTTCAATACTTCTCAAGCTCTGGCGAGACCTCGACGAGTTCAACGACATTGGGCCAAGTTTTCTCATTGAACTTCACTTACCATCTTTGTTTTTGTTATATGTGCTCGGCGCTGGTACCCATACTTTCTTGCGGTATTCAAGTGCCAACGCTGCCAAAGAGGCTTTTGCGACTCGCTGCCGAACAGGCTTGGAAACATTCTTCGATCATGGTGGATATGACAGAACACTTCTTGAGCCGAAAGGGCGTCATATCAAAGTTATGGCCGATAGTTGGCTATGGGGCGTACGTTTGCACAGTCATTCAACTCCGTTGTTTCTTTGCCCTCCGTTCGCTAACCGTAGCGCGACTGAAACGCTGTGAGAACCTATTGTGTCTTACTGGCGAGCTCAAGAATTATTGGGGCAACATAAATACTTTCGTAAGTCCGGAAATAATACCTTGTCACCGTGGTCTTGCTTATTCTCATAACTCTTAGCATATGCAGGTGGATCGGCAATTGGCCAATGCCCGGAAGTTTTTGAATCCAGATGAAGACCTCACTAGTGAAACTCATATCATCCCGGAAAATCTCGTCGACGCTATCGCCTCTCCGGAAATATCAATCTTGGCCCGCTGGCGAACTTTTATTTCTGGCTACATCGCTAATCAAGATTATGAAAATCGATCGGTACATGCGCAACAAGATGGCCATCGACGACTGTCGTTAAGGAAAGCCCCGGAGGCCATTGAGCGCGAAATGTCCGCTAATATCGGAGAAAATATGACACTGCCAATACAAACCCAAAGCTCAGCTGAAGCTCCTAACACGACTCAAAGCTGGTCGATGCAACAGAGCATTCCCCCTGGCGAAACTCTTCACAACCATGAATCCTCTCAGATACAGCCGCCTGGACGAAATGGTGTTGGACTGTGGGAACAAGTACCAGCCATGTTCGCAGATCTTTTTGGACAAGACTTTCATGCTGCTAACGGCGAGCTTCTAATGGACACATGAGAGTTCCCATAGGACCACCTTTCAAGTACTTACTCAAAAACATGATAATCCAATATTTCTCTTTCACGCATTTACTCTCGAAATTAATGCATCATCGTTTGAAATCTTATATTCTACGCTATTTTTACAGGAATAAATTAACCACGCCCAACCCCTAGTGTGAGAACGTATTTCTAGACCGGGAAACAATGGTGTGAGAAAAGAAGTGGGCATACAAAAGGGAACCACGCGCTCATAAGGTATTCATAGCATCTTAAACCATGAAAGAAGCTTAACTTTTGCGTTATTACAGGTATCCAAGGCTCACGAAGAGTGGAATTAGGGTAAGAATTAGCAAAATCTTAATAAAAAACGGATTCTTTTCTTACCTGTTTGAAAGCATATAGCGTTGTAAAGAAGAAATAGATCTTCCTATACCGCAATAAGCTTTCGTTATGAAGTTATGAAGGTAGAAAGTTAGAGAGCGCTGCTATAATAAAGAGTAATGTTACAAGAAACAAGAAGGATGCTCTCCTTAATAAGAAACGAGAAGGCTGAATGTAACGGAATTACATGCCTATATATATTATACTACACTAGAATAATCAGTTCAGATTATTCTCGTGCTTACCTAGTAAGAACGTATAATTTAAGTTAACTATGATAAGAGTAATAATAAAATCTATCTATTCTTATATTCTTGTTATTTCTAGTTCTATTCTCTAGTATCCTATAGAAACATTCTTTCGTGGGAGGTCTAGAAGAACATAATATCTTATATCGTTATGGCATCCTATTCTTAGCGGGATGCTAGCTCTTAGTCGGAGGCTAGGTTACGTGATTAGTGCCCCGCGATAATCATTACTTTTTAATGTGGACGTCTATGGGCCTTTAGCTATCTTATTACTCGTTAAGGAGAGAATCCTTCCTATTACTTATAATACTACGTCTACTTACTAAAAAGATACGTACGAGAATAATTTGAACTGATTATCCTAGCGTAGTATAATATGTATAGGTATATAACTCCGTTTTACCGCGATAATCATTATTTTCCAACGTGGACGTCCATAGGCCCTTAACCTTCTCGTCTCTTGTTAAGGAGAGAATCTTACTTCCTTCTTGTTACTTGTATCATAACCCTGTGCACCAGCACACTAGGAGTTAACGCGTCTAATGTGGTGCATGCTTGCGCTAGCAGGTTGGGCTCTACTTACCTAAAGGTTGGAAATGTACGCTATATGCTTGTTCGAGAGAAGCGAAGTGATAATGTCAGCGTTATACTTCTATATCTGTTGATCGTCCGTTTCCTTTTGCTATTATAGTATTGCTGTAATAGTCTGTAACAATCGTGATTTTCAATGGGGTCTTGGCATCTCGGACCGACGCTTCTCTCGGATACGTTAGTTATCACTTTATCTACCTCGGTAACTGCTGTATGTAGTACAACTCGGACCGAACTTCAGCAAGCTAGCACTATACATATAATGTGAATCCTTGTGTGCTGTCGCCTACAATTACTCATTCTTCAAAACGTCCGTTTTCAACGAGTATTCGCGTCTTTTTGCATCGCTTTAAGCACCTCATTTTACTCGTTAGTTCGGTACTCGAATTATTGTGGGATTTAGTTGCGATTGAAACATGACGACTCTAAAGTATATCATGATACAGCACGCTACGGTCCTGTCTATGGATCCAAATATGGGCAATTTGTTCAATTACGATATTCTCATTAAGGATGATACAATTGCTGCCGTGGGGCCGGCGCTCTCTATTCCTAAACATAGTAAGTGCGACATCATTGACGGTACGGACAGCATTATCACTCCCGGGTTTGTGGATGGTCATCACCATATGTGGCAGCAATTCCTTCGTTCTGTTACGAACGACTGGTCACTTCTTGATTACCTGATCAACATGCGCACTAAATATAGGAGCTTGTTCACCACCGATGATATATACTTTGCTCAATATGTCGCTGGACTCAGCCTACTTAGTAATAGGGTGACCACGGTTCTTGATTATTGCCATATTATCAATGCGCCGTCTTTTGCAGATGCTGCTGTGCGAGGCCTTAAGGACTCTGGAATCAGAGGCACCTTTTACTACGGTTTTTATCCTAACCCTCCAATGCTGGTATATATAAGCGGAGAACCTTCCGAAAACTTCACTCAGGAGCTACACGAGCAGGATGCCGTCCGTGTACTGAAAGAGCATTTCCCTAATAACGATCCGAATATATCATTGCTCACATTCGGCATTACACCTAATGAACCTAAAGCAACACTAATAGAGACGATCAAGGAAGAACTGAGAAAATCACGCGCAATAGGCGCTAGGCTTATTACGTACCACGTCGCTATAGGTTATTACGATATAGCTTAGCGAAAGATTGTGTAAGAACTAGCAGATAACAACCTCCTCGGTCCCGATATTGTGTTTAGTTACGGCGGAAGCTTAACTTAAGGCGAACTTGCCGCTATTAAAGACAGCGGTTCCGGTATCGTGGCAACCCCAGACACTAAGCTCCAAATGGGGATAGGACATCCTGTTGCCTTCTATGTAATTGACAATAGCTGTCATTCCTGTCTCGGTATAGATATCACATCTAATAACAGCAACGATTTTATAGCGCAGATGAGACTGGCACTACAAACTCAGCGTGTAAAAGATAACTAAACAGCTTTCCTCAAGACTGTAAAGCGAAAGACAGAAGAAGTGTTACGTATGGCTACGATTGGCGGCGCTGAAGTAATGCGTTTGCAAGATGTAACCGGTTCGATAACAAAAGGAAAGAAGGCTGATTTAGTGCTGTTTCGATGCAATGAAATTAACTTATTTCCTAGTTTTGACCCAGTTAGGACGGTGGTATTTCACATGTCGCATAGTAATATCGATACAGTCATTGTGGATAGGAGAGTGGCGAAGAGGAATGGGGAATTAGTTAGAGTAGATTGGCCGAACTTGCGAGAAGAAATTAGATTAAGGTTAAAGAGAATTGTGGATAAAGTAGAGAAGATTGATATGACGAAGTACAGGGAGAGATGGGAGAAGATCCTTGGTCTTTGGGAGGGGAAGTAACCTTGTCAACCTAGCACTTGTTACCACTGAGTGTACTATGAAGGTAGTACTTATGCGATCCATAGGTAGTTGCTTACTTAGCATTCTTGCTGCCTTTAACTGCTTGTTATAGCTTTCTTAACAGAACAGCCTTCTGCGTCTTTACTATCTCCACTAGTTAACAGATTTGAAATCTGTACTTTTGTCAGAATGTGGGCATAGTTTGGACAGTTGATAGAATCTAGGTGCTTAAGCACACCCGGATTCTGTGAGCAGCGATTATACATAATCCGCTGCTATCCGGATCACCTATAACAGCACACGCTGCAGATTAAGCCGCAGTATCTAGAGTCCTTGTGTACAGCTAATAAGAGCGACCTTCGCTAAGGCTATAATCTAGCTAAGACTAAAACTAGAGGCTCTATCTTATATAAAAAGTAATAGCTAGACGACTCTAAAAGAGGCGCGCAGGCGCGCCTCTAACGAGATAATAAGATTAATAATTAATTAGCATTAATTTAATCTATACATAATTATTATAACTATTTATTATAGTTTTATTTCTATTTTTAAGAACTATTACTATTAGATAATGAAGAGTATTACTACCTCTACTAATTTATTAATAATCTATTAACTGATCTAAATCTAATATAAACGCGTGAGCTAATTAGTAGAACGCGATAGTACTACTACGCTTAGTATAACTAACTAGAAGCGCGCTACGTTACCTATAATTTATAGGAATAGGTTAATTCTAATAGAATAAAGCTACTTTTAATAGAGCTAACCTCTCTAAAGCTCTTAGAGTACGGCGACTATACGCTAATTAATACGCTGCTTATAGGGTAAGTACTAACTAGGTTAACTAACTTATCTATCTTAGGTTAGTAAGCTTATAAGGACGATCCTAAGGTCTATAAGCTTAAAATAAAGCTATATAAGGTAGATTTCGCTTAGTATAAAGCTAAAGTAGTAAACCTCTAGTAGATTAAGATTCTAATCTAATCTACTATTATAGCTTACTTATAGCGCACCTGCTATCCGCCTAGTAGATTATGTAAAGGGCTGCGCCCGTGATCTCTACTAAAGAGGATCACGTGATCTTCGACCACGTGATATACCTTCTGTACGGACACGTGATCAGAAGCGAGCAGGTATAAGAGAAGTCTGTACTTAGTTATCTTCTCTTTTTCTTATCTTTTAGCTTCTGTACGATAGGTAGAAGTATACTCGTTCGCTAGACCTCTCCGCCTATAACATAAGCTAAAAGATCACTTTAACCCTTCTTACTCTTTTCTCTCGTACGGAGCGAGAGAGAATTAAGAATACAAAACGAACAAGATATAACGATAGGGCTACATGAGCCTATACTAAACCCAGAATCTAGTAACGCCCCGCTAAGGCCTCTAACGTACGAGGAGCTCGCAGAAAGCTGGAGCTAACTTAATGTAACGAATAATCTACTCTGACGAAACCTAGACTAAATAGCTATAAGACTTAAGGACGCTAAAGGCGTACGAGAAGAACTCTAAGAGATGAAAGCCCTTTTCCTCCGTACGGTATAGGGGCAAGCTACCCCTAACGCACAGACTTCTAATCTCACGCTAAGTATAGAAAGTTAGCAACCTCCTAGCCAGCCTCTAGCTACGCCTACGCCCGTACAAGAGTTTAGAAAAGCTAGACTCCCTAATGTTAGAATCTTCGAGAAAGGCTCACACGAAGAATACACGCAGTGGAAGATGCAGATCCGTACGAAACTATCAGCGGATTATCTAGCTTACCCTACGGAGTTCTACCAAGCTTACTATGTAATCTCCCGTACGGGAGGACTAGCCTTTTTAGTATTACAGGCTTACGTACAAGACTTCACGAGCAGAAATCTATCACCTAGCTTGAGCAAGCTTTGGGAGCAACTAAACGCGTTCTTCGAAGACCCTTTAATTAAGCAAAAAGCTCTATAGTATCTCCGTACGACTAAGTAAGGAAAAGGCGAGTTTCTTTTCTACATACGAGCTTTCAATCTAAAGTTCAACGAAGCTGGTTTCGGACAAGATAACGACGCGCTGAAAATTAACTATCTCAAGAATTCTCTTAATAGGAAGCTACTACGCTACCAAGCTGGGTACCAGCCTCCTTTAAACGAGACGTACGACGCCTTTGTTCATCGACTTAGGAACACTTAGGAGAATCTTAAGGTAATTAACCAACTCTCGTCTAACGCGCCCTCTTACTTAACCTCTCTTCCTACGTCTACCCCAGCTGCCGTGGACGAAATGGACTAGACGCCTAATATAGGCGCCATGCGTCCCTATACGAGGAACGAGTACTAGGGTACACAAAACTAAATTACTTAACGCAAGGAGGAGGGCAGCTGCCTACGCTGTAGCATCTACGGCCACCTCGTACGACAGTGTAAAGCAGCAGTCCCAAAACGCACGCGCAAGCTAGAGACCGTGACAAAAGTCCTAGCTGCTACCTTAGAAGACGAAAGCTCGGACGAGGGAAAAGAGGAGCCCTAGTCTAAAAACGCCGACTAGGGCAGCCAAAGCAGGTTAAGCAGGTCGTACGACCTGTCCAAGAGCTACTTCACTAACTAAAGCCTACTCAGCTAATGTCTATAGACGTAATTGTTAATCTTTTAAAAAACGCTACTGCTATAATTAATAATGGGTGCTGCACTTATGCGATAGTATGTGAAAGACTCGTACGAGAACTTGACCTGCCGCGCGTATCTATCCCTACTAGGGAGATTAAAGATGTTAATAACTAGAAGAGCACTGTAGGAGCCATTACTTAATTTACTATAGACGTTGGAGGGATTAAGCGAAAAGCAGCCGCTTTCATTACCACGTCTACGTACGAGTACGACATCATCTTAGGAAAAACCTAGCTTAAAGATGTAGGAGGTGTTATTAATGCGGCCGGACGAACACTTCTTCTTCCACGTTACGATCTCTCTATGCCTAGCACAGAGAGAACCAAACCACTATAGAACTTCGCCGTAATCTCAGCAGCTACCTTTCAGGCCCACGTACGACGAAGCCGAAAACAGCTAGCTTTGTAAGTCTTCGCTACCAGTCTCCAAGACATTAAGAAAGCTCTCCGTCCAAAGACGCAGCTAACTATAGTAGAAGTAACTAAGTCGCTTCCTTTATACTTACGACCGTACGCCTCCCTATTTACCTCAAAGAAAGGAGACGAGCTCCCGCCTCTACGAGGCCCAGACGTTAACTATAAGATCGAACTGATTCCTAAGGACGACGGGAAGCTGCTAGAAGTCCCGTACGGACCTCTCTATAATATGTCTAGAGATAAACTACTAGTACTACGCAAGACACTATACGAGTTACTTAAGAAAGGGTTCATCCGCGCAAGCAACTCCCCCGCCGCGTTACCAGTCCTCTTCGTACGGAAACCTAAGGGAGGACTAAGATTCTGCGTAGACTACCGCGCCCTAAATGCGCTGACTCGTAAGGACTATTATCCGCTGCCTCTTATATGGGAGACGCTAAATTAAGTCGGACGAGCAAAGTGGTATACAAAGCTTGATGTTACAGCCGCCTTTCACAAAATTCGGATTACTAAGGGCTAAGAATAGATGACTGCTTTCTGTACCTGGTTTGGGTCGTACGAGTGGCTAGTTACTCCTTTTAGGCTTGCTAACGCTCTTAGCACATTCTAGCGCTATATTAACTGGACGCTGCGCGAGTTTCTAGACGATTTCGCTTCCGCCTACTTAGACGATATCCTAATCTACACGGATGGCTTAATATTCTAACATCACGACTACGTACGGTAAGTAATTAAGCGTCTGCAAGCTGCGGGACTATAGCTTGAACTTAAGAAGTGCGAGTTTGACGTCTAACGTACGAAATACTTAGGATTTATTCTTAAAGTAGGGAAGGGCGTCTTAATGGACACGGAGAAGATAAGAGCTATTTAAGAATAGGAAGCTCCAGCTACCGTACGAGGCGTGAGAGGGTTCTTTGGGTTTGCCAATTTCTACTGTAGATTTATCTCTAACTTCTTAAGACTGGTAGAACCTCTCGTACGGTTAACAAGAAAAGACGCTAAATTCGAATAGAGCCGAGACCAAGAGCTGAGCTTTGCCGCCCTTAAGGAAGCTTTCCTCTCTGATAAAGTGTTAGCTGCCTTCGACCTAGACAGGCGGATAGTGGTAGAGTGTAACTCATCTAGACGAGCAATAGGTGCTGTACTTCTACAAGAAGACGACAAAGGTACCCTACGTACGATAGCTTACTTCTCCTGAAAGCTACTAGTTCATGAAGCGAACTACCTAATCCACGACAAAGAGCTACTAGCGGTGATCTACTACTTAAAAGAGTGGGACGCTAAACTATAAGGCGTACGAGAATTCGAAGTAGTTACAGACTATAAGAACCTAGAATACTTCACCCATAAGTAAAAGCTCTCTAAACGCCACGTACGATGGAACTTAGAACTAGCCCGCTTCCCAAATATGAAACTCCGCTACCGCCCTGGTAAGGAGAACGTACGGGCGGACGCCTTATCTAGGCGAGACTAAGATATGCAGAAGGACGACCTAGACGAGCATTTAGCATTAAGAGAATTTATCATGCTAGTGCCAGCCCAGACCTAGGAAAGTATTGCGGTTATACCTGTACGAGACACTACCGACACTTAAGAAAATATCTCTCCCCTAGTGTCGACTACACTGCCGCGACCACCGCATTTTCCTACGCTCGTACGAGATTATTAGGATAGCGCCGCACAAGAAGATTCCCTATACTAAGAAATAAGAGCGGCTATGTGGGAAGGAAAACGATCTCTCCCTAGCTCTCGTAAGATTACTATCTCTTTAGGCGACTGTACGATTAACGCTAAAGATAAGTTATACTAGCGTAATAGAGTATAGGTACCTGAATGTGAACCACTTCGGACAGGAGTAATCCAAACTACGCACCTGTCTCTGCTAACAGGACACCCTAGACGAGAGGAAACATACAGAATTATCGTAAGAGAATGGTATTAGCCAAACATAAGCACTAATATACGCCGTTACGTACGGAATTGCGAGCTATGCTGGAAAAGCACCCCCTGGAGGGACGGGAAATATAGGTACTTGAAACCATTACCCGTTTCTAGTCGTACGTAGCAACATCTAACAGTCGACTTTATCACGGGTTTACCTAGCTCTTAAGGGAAAACTAATCTTATAGTAGTGAAGGACAGACTAGGCAAAGGCATCGTGCTAATCCCTATGGATAAGATCGAGACAATAGACGTCGCTTAGGCCTTTGTATAGGAAGTCTACTAGCATCACAGCCTTCTACAGTCTATTACGTCCGACCGCGGCCCCCAATTCGCCAGCTCTCTTTGGAAACAGGTCTGCCAGCTACTTGGTATCCAGAGAAATCTCTCAACAGCCTATCACCCACAGACGGACGGAACAACAGAGCGCGCTAATAGCGATATAGAAGCAGTCGTACGGATCTTCTGCAACTACGATCAAGACAACTGGGCACAACTCTGCCCCCTTTTAGAACTTATGCTCAACTCCCGTACGAACACGACAATAGGAGTTTCACCTTTCTTCCTGCACCATGGTTACCATAACACTCCTTTCCCCCAGCCCCAAACGGTCACGCAAGCCGACGAAGTAGGAGAAGCTGCAAAGGAGATTGTCCGGACGATTAGTGATGCTGCTAACTGGGCTATATCTGCCATGACCTACGCCCAACAAGAACAAGAACGACAAGCTAACAAGTCCCGCAGACCAGCGCCCACCTACCGCGTAGGAGACTGGGTATGGCTAGACTTACGCGATGTACGTACGGCTAGAAGTAGTAAGAAACTTGATTGGAAAAGCGCCAAGTTCCAGGTTGCTCGCGTACGAGACCCTTACTGGGTGGAATTAGCCGTGCCATGGGAAACAAAGACTTACCATGTAGACAAGCTCCGTCCGGCGGCTAACGACCCATTCCCATCGCAGCAGACGGACGACACCAACCCAACTGCTACAGTCGTACAAGATAACGAAAACAATGAGGAACACTTAGAGTGGACAGTACGAGACATCACGGACGAGAGAATAAGGCGCAGGCAAAT